AATAAAATATAAGTTTTGTTTACAAAATAAATCTCAGCAGCAAGTAAGAAAACTCTAAAGAAAATGGAATAAATCAATTTTCCTTTAACCCTCCCACTGTCTTTATGGGTGACCCCGCAAGGAAACTTGACCATTGAGCAGGATTGATGGTTTATCCCTTGAGGTCCACGTGGCAGGGGTGAGGTGGTGCTCACTTCTCACCCCTGCCACATGGACCAAAGGGATAAACCATCAACGCTGCTCAATGGTTAACTTTCCTCGCGGGGTCACACCTGTTAGCACAGTGGGAGGGTTAAAAAAATTGTGTCAGATGAGCTGTCATTGCTAGAGCTAGCGGCTTGCTCCTCTGCTTATTCTAGGGAATGCCTCAACCTTGGCTTCACATTAAAGATGTGGTTCACTTGTTTAATAAACACATTTGCAATGATCTCTAGTAAAAATGAATGCCTTGTAAGTCATAATCTGGGTACAAAAAGCTTTGTTGCACATGTTTCAGGATCTAGAAGATTGTCAGATCAGAGAAAAGCTTCAGACGGAAAGATTTGGAGTCTTACTTCCTGCTATTTGGACACCTCACCTTTGATCTTGATCACTTTTTACATCTGAATGAGGCTACGAATGAAGTAATTGTACTTAGCCCTGGCATGCCTACACGCCCATGCGATGCTGTGAATCTGGGCCCTTTAGCATCTAACATGAAGACCACCATCTGAAATTTGGGAGTGCAACTGGACTCAGCCCTTAAATTCGACGCGCAAATCAATCAATCAATCAATCAAATTTTATTTGTATAGCACCTTCTACAACATTATCCGAAGCCCAAGGTGCTGAACAACATCATTAAAAGAAAAACATTCTCAATACATGGGCATAAAAGCAGGATAAAAACATAAAATTATAAAATAGCAAGCAAACAGCATTACAGATAAGAGATATTGGAATAAGACCAATCGATAAAAAAAACAAATGTCGGACAAAATAAAATCAAGCATCCGGTTTAAAAAGAAGAATAGTTAAAACCATAATGTTAGGGCAATTCAAGTGACCCTAGCGCTGAAACGCAATCAGATAAAAATCAACCAGGTTGTGCGATCGTGTTTTTTAACTTACGCCGACTAGCCAGAAGTAAGCCCCTGCTATCCAGAGTACATCTAGAGACTGTCACACATGCTTTTGTTCTTTCAAGGCTCGACTACTGCAATGCACTGTACCGACCTTAGTCAGGGTGCGGTAGCACGCTTGCAGTTAGTACAAAACTCAGCCGCTAGGTTCATGACAGGCACTAGGCGCAGGGAACCTATCACCCCTGTGTTGGCATCCCTTCATTGGCTGCCTGTGCAATACAGGGCAAAATTCAAGGTCTTGGTACTGACATACAAGGCCTTACAAGGAACAGCTCCAGTATATCTTGGCAACCTTTTGCATAGACATGCCCCCTCGCGGGCCCTTCGCTCAGTCGTCAGGGAGTTGTTGATCGTTCCACGCACTAAGTACAGGTCACGGGGGGGCCGTGCGTTCTCGGTGTTGGCACCTGCACTTTGGAACCAGTTGCCTTTGGTGGTGCATCAGTCACCCTCATTGGGGGGTTTTAAGACTTGCCTTAAGACCCATTTTTTTGTCAAGGCATTCCAGGATTAGCAAATTTTACCCGGTTTCGATGCCTCGGCCTCTTAATCTTTTTCAGGATTAAATTTTTTGTTTTTACTCTCCTCTCTTAATTTTTTTATGTTGGTTTTACGATTGCTATATTTTATTCTGACGGTTTTATGTTTTTATTGTGTTGTGTTCAGCACCTTGGGCGTCTGCATTGGTCGCAGAAGGGGCTTTATAAATAAATTAAATGAAAAAAATAAATGAAATGAAATGATTGGCTAACAAAGACACAATTCCACTGACTCTATTTACTTTGCAACACTGATGTTTTATCTCCACAAATAACAAAAGCACAAAGGAGTTCTGTTGTGTTGTGGATTTGCTAATGCTAACAGTTAGCTTTTACTAGCATTCACTCGTGCATCCTGCATTCCCTGGGTGAGTCCATGAGTGTTGAGTGACAGTGTGTTGTAGATCTGTCAGGCTTTCCAAAACCTAGAGTTTCACTGAAGCTAAGGCAAGAGACAGGTGTCATCATTTAAAAATGGGTTTTTAGTGAACCACACCTTTTAAAGTATGACAACGTAGAAGGTGGAGAGCAGCAGAGTCACTCAGCCTCAGTTTTCAGGCTATAAATGCCCACAAACGTCCGTTAACTGTGGTTAGCTCAGTTAGCTTGTAGCTCTCAGATCCACATATTTTCTGGAAGTGATGAGATGCATCACTCGGCCAAGATAATGGTGGAGGGAAATGCCCACTGGGCTTTTGTTGAGCTCTTCAGAAACCTACGGGCTCCATCCATCTTCTTTCTATAGGTAACCCGTTTTTGTTTCTGGTTAGTTTTTAATAGCTGCAGCCCCACATAGTTGATTATGTGTTCAACATCATCAAAGTAATTATAATTCTAGAATAATAAATGATCCTGCATCTAAAAGAAACACCTTTGGGATTGGTGTGACTTATCAGTAGTTCAAACATGTATGTGCAGCTAACCCTATATATGTAAAATATCACACGTTGTATATTTGTGAATGTTTTTAACACCATATTGCTCACATTAAACAAAAGTAATGAGCAGCTGAGCATGTCTTTCTGCAGGTGTGGCTGCTTTTCCTTTGATGAAGAAAAAGCAAACTGATTAGCAGGTCCAGGTAAGATCTGAGCATGTTTCCCTGCCAGCGACTGCATGATTAAATCACACAGATCGAGTCTTGGGGAGCTGGATAATGAAAGGACAAGCTGGTGGATGCCTTCACACTCTCCCCCTCCCCTCCATGCCCTCCAATTCTCCCTCCATCAAGTAGCACTGGAGCTCAGCCCAAACCTGGGACAAGACAGGACGCTGGATGGAGCAGAAACACTTTCAAACCCTTTGTATGCTGTGTTACTGGACATGTTGAAAATGTTTAAATGTGTGCAATCACACGGACGTGCAGCACACACAAAGCTTAATGACAGTGCAGTCGCCATGTAGACTCTCACCAGCCACCCCTGGCTGGAGTTAATACAGCAGAGAAAGTCATTTACACATTTTACTGGCATGCAGATTTAAATGGAAACATAACAGTTTTGGCTTGTTTTTGGCACCCCCTAGCATTCGTTTTATATCACTGTCGTAAAAACGAAACTGAAACTCTCCACCTTGCTCCTCGCTCAAGTTTTTAACTGCTGAAATGTCTCCGCAGCCTTCATTAGTTTCTACAGGAGCAGTTCATCATTAAATCAAACAAATCTGCTCCGTTCACAATCTAAAACATGCAGGAATAATGAGTCTTAGTGCTCGCAATTCAGAAAACTCCATATGTTGACTCTTCTTTGACTCCTATTGGGGTCAGACATTCTTTTATTTATTTGTTTGTTTGAGCTTCATAAGATAATGTTTGTCTTTGTTTCTTCTGAGGCTCCACCATGATAACCATGTTACAATACAAGGGGTGTTTCTCAATGACAAGGAACCTTGCCTTGCCTTAGTCCTGCCCTGGTTGCCTAGGAGATACGTCATCAGGAACGGTCAAGGCATGTTCCAATGTTCATATTCTACAGGGGCGTCAGTTCTCCATTTGTTAGCAGTTTAGCTAGCTGAGCAAGGATGCATGGGTGGTGCTTTGTAACCAGGTGTGGCTCGTCTGTTCAGAGGTGTAGACATGGATTGCTGTAAAGGATGACTTTGTGAGACTTCAGGTCAGCGGTTGAAGTTGCAAATGGGTATCCTGCTAACAAGAGGCAGAGGGGGCTGAGGGACTTCATTCACCCTGTAAAGGTTCATTTTAACACATACTGGCTCAACATCATGATTTAAAAATATGAAAAAATAGCATAATATGCCTTTAACAGAGTAGCAACCCCCCCCAGCAGCTCTGTAAATCAATAATGAGGCAAAACAAAAAAGAAATTCCACAAATCTTACTTTACAGCTGCAGCGTATACCCCTATAATGCCAGAATAAGCATTAAAATGTCTTTAAAATACTGTTGACGACTTTTGGTTACAGGCAGTCCCTATTCCCAGTCCTGGCAATGGTCTGTTATGGCGGGAAACCTAATACAAGATTTCTGTTCTAGTGCAAACACAGTGGCCATAGGCACCAAGGAACAGCTGCCATATAATTGAATTAACATTCGCCTTCTGCTCCAGCACTTGGCGCTGTGCTGAGAAGTCATACAAAACCTTCTACGAGCTCCATCAACCTGCCCATGAATATGCATAGTAGTGGTGATAAATATGTGCTCTGTGTCTAATGTTTGTGGAGTTGCCTACACAACGAATAAAGAGCTATATGCTGAAGACTGTCTAGGGGATTGTCACAGCATAATCAAGTTGGTTGATCTTTTTCAATGCCACAGGCCCACAGAGGCCAAGAGCTGGGATGTTTGAGAGGCTTCTGTGTGATTGAAGGTCTAACAGAGACATCTAGTGGTTTAAATTCAACAAACATAAAAAAGCTTCTACTCATTAACTTGATAATTGAATAGAAAATTTTAAAAAGAGCTGCAATCTGCTGCATGTTAGTCTATGTGCACATCAACATCACAATATTACTGTTATACAAAGAAAGTGGCTCTGCGGGCCAAAACAAAAAATCATGCACTGAACTACAGATCAATCAGAATCAAATAACTCAAAAAATTGCCAAACCGGGAATGTAGATGACCCAGAACTGCTTAACTGGATGCATGACAATATTTGGTGACATTATCTGACTTAACTACACTGATAGGGTGAAACAATCCATCCATCCATCCATCCATCCATTGCCTGAACCCGTTAGGTCCACGTAGGGTCGCCGGGGGGGGGGGGGGGGGGGGGGGGGGGGGGATTAGGACTGGTGCCTATATCCAGCGGTCAATGGGCAAAAACTGGACAGAGAGCCAGTCCATTGCAGGGCAACACAGAGACACACAGGACAAACAATCACACACACTCACACCTGAGGAAAATTTAGACAGACCGGTCAACCTAACAGTCATGTTTTTGGGCTTTGGGAGGAAGCCGGAGCACCCAGACTTCTTGCTGCAAGGCAACAGCTCTAACCACTGCGCAGCCGGGGTGAAACAATCACAATGTAGAAAGAATACTTTTTTATTTTTTATTTTAGCATGATGATTTGATTTGAGTCCATTTTGTCTGATTTCATTTTGTCCACAAACCTTAAAGAAGCAACATGTAAGAATTCTACAGGGAGATAATAACAGAATAGCCTAATGTCACAATCATGTTGGAAGGAAGGTTACATTAAAACAGATTTACTTCTCAACTAGCTGGGTGGTTGCCAGTTCCTCTCATTTTCAAAAACTAAGGAGGGACTTGCTACTGTTTAGTGAGGAATCTGTGTCTGCAGCAAGCTAACGCTGCAGCGCAAGCATTTGTAATTTGACACCAGCAGGATAAAAGCTTCAGTGTTGTTTAAAGAACCAAAGCCAGTAACCAGGAGAGACCCAGAAGTAGGAAGTCTCCTTTCTGTGATCCACAGGTATAAAATGTACGTGTTTAAAGTGTACTGGTTACACAGAGCTCCCTAACCTGCTACTTGTCCCAATTTCCTATAGGTCTTGCGCCGGTAACACAAGCAACGTCCCACGTCCGAGGGGAAACTAAAGTTACAATAAATACATGGCGTAATGGGGTAACTTAACAGCAACATTCTGGGTTAGCAAGAGGGCAAAATAAAAAGGGAGTTCTGAAAGAAAATTAAAGAAAAATAAAAATAAGAAAATAAAAGGTTTAGGTAAAAGCAGCTTTATGTGGCAAGGTGGAATCTTCCCCCTTCTTTCCACAAGCACGTCCTCGTGCTCCCGCGCAGGGTGCCACAAACTTCACCAGGGGCGGATTTAGGACTGAAGAAGATCCGGGGCTTAACACGACGCGCGCGCGCACGCATTAGTCAGCATCATATATATTACAAATCACAAATATTTTCAAATAAGACTCACAAACCTGAGTCAGCACACCAGTATCATCAAAGCTGGGGTTCTGTCGCAGTATGTACCTTTTGTCTAAAAAAACGTCCTTATGTCCATCTTCACACATGCGTTTCAGGCAGCAGAGACTGTAGAAGAAGCCGGCTGCTGAAGGGCTTCTTCTTCAGTGGTGCTGATTGAAGTCACCTCAGATCACAGGTCCAGTGAATACACCTCACATCCACTAAAAGCAAAAAATATAGAACAAGCTAGCTTTACACAAAACAAGATTTCCTCAAGCTTCACAAAAAAATATGCAACTTAAGTTCTAGTGATCCTTGCTGTCTTTTCCTACTTAGTTCTTTATCCATATTTCAAATAATGTCTCTTTGCTTTCTGCACAAGTTTGCTGACCAATTTCCAGTTACCTCATTTATTGATTTGATTCATTGCATAATTCAAAAAAGAAAACAGATTTTACTTCAACAAACAAGTTTTATTCAGTAGATAACTTATTACAAATCAGAAAAGAACATATGCAAAATTTAAGTAAATGTATACAAATGTATTTCACTTTTTTCATAAAGTACAGACTGTTTTTTTTATTGCTGCATGAAAATCACTTCATTGCACTCTTTTTCAACTTCAGTGGCCCCACACCTCTCCATCACCATCTTTTTCCCCTACTTTTTTTGTAATGGTAGCAAAATAAGGCTGTGGCGACGTGGCTTTAGTTTAGCAAATCTGTCAATAATTTGGTCAGGGGTTATGACGTCCAGAGTTTCCTTTTCAATTGACATAATGGAAAGGTCATTCAGTCTTTCTTGGTCCATGGTGCTTCTCAACCATGTGTGGAGACGGCGTAAAACACTGAAAGAGCGTTCACAGTTGCAGCTGCTTATGGGGATTGTGAGGGCAACTTGGAGGATGGCTTTCAAGGTGGGAAACATTTCTCTGTCAAGAATCCTGAACACAGTGGCTATGTCCAGTCTTTGATTGTCTTCTGTAGCTGTGTTTGGGGTTGTTTTATCTCTCTCTTTCTCCAGCCATTTCTTGACGACATGTTTTGCCACCAGGAGTTCTTCTTGCATCAGCTTAATTCCATAATGGTTAGCAAGACCTTTGAGAGCCTGTTCAGAAAGAAAGGTTGATGTAGTTGGATTGCAGGCTTGAATACCGGACATAAGTTCTTCTCCCAAATCTGAAAACCGATGAGTGAGCTCCTGTATCATTCTGTCCAAGCATGGATAAAAAAGTTGGCTTCTAAACTCATCTGGGGTGGTCAGAATAGAGGTTGCCCCACAGGCTGACTCCACCACAAAATCATCCATTATTTTTTGTTTTTTCCTGGGACCAACTGGGAGCTGGATGTGATTTTCCTCACATATGGTCATGGCACTTTTAAAAAGATCTTCAACACTACTGCTTGTGCGGAAATCTGTCAAAGTTTCAATGATTGCTGTTTTGTACAGCACTGCTCTGCTCACATCCACACTTTCCCCCTGCAAGTATCGATGGAAACCTTCAGTTATCATAAGGAGTTTGGCAAACATCACTAACATGTAGATTGTCTTTGGCTTACAGAGATTTGACAAGATCCCTTGGGCTGTGGCAGTCTTCATGGTCCTGAGACATGCAAGAATGGCAGGAAGGTTGTTCATGACAGCTTTTACAGACCTCACCTGGCTTGCCCATCTTGTGTTGGAGAGTTGCACAAGTTCAGATGGCTGTAATCCAAGTTGTTTCTGGATTTCAATGAACTTGTTGTGGTTAATGAGTGAGTTGCTGAAACATGTGTATATGTTTTCAAGCAAGTCAAAGAATGCAGCAGCTTCAGGTATAGCTTTGCATGTGTGGAACAGGACTAGGTTAAGCTCATGTGCGTAACAGTGTACATACACTGCTTCAGGGTGTCGTTCTTTGAAGTAGGCCTGTACACCCCCTACTGCTCCACTCATCACTGATGCTCCATCATAGGTTTGTGCAACACACTTGAGATCCCCTAGGTTGTGAGACTGCAGCACTGCCTCTATTCCATCTGCAATAGATTTTGCATCAAATTTTTCTAGCTTGTGTAGTCCAAGAAAAGCCTCTCTAAGGGAACCTTCCATTGTGACAAAGCGAACACATACTGCTAGCTGCTCTGTATGGTGATCTCTAGCTTCATCTGCCATCACAGAGTACATTGTGGACGATCTAATTTGTTTTGTGATATTTTCAGTTATTTCTTGTGCAATGCTTGAAATAATTTCATTTTGTGATGGATGTGATAGGTAGGTGGCATTTTTAGGAGGTGAATATTTTTTGAGAAATGGGTCAAAATTTTTCAGGAGTTTCATGCATTCCAGGAAGTTGCCTTGATTATTGCTAGTCTCCTGCTCATCATGCCCGCAAAATGGAATGTTTTGCTTCCCTAGAAATGTGATCACACTCACAATGCGCTGAAGGTATTGGCGCCTCTCTGATATTTCTTCTGCGCTTGCAGTATTCAGCTGCTCAATAACATCCCCATGAGTCCCTGTGCTTTTAAAGCTTTGCCAACATGTCATGCTTGACTTATGGAAGTCACTTTTCTCATGCTCACGAAAGGAGTCCAAAGCCCTTTTCCAGTTTGAAAAACCAGAAAAACTAAGGAGAGCATCTTTATAGATACGAATGTTTTGCCTTCCAAAGTGACGACATGGAAAGCAAAATGTAGAGTTGGTGGCTTCAGAGTACTCCAGCCATTTAAACTGCTCGAACCAGCTCTTATTGAAAGCTCTTTTCTGTTTACCAAATAGGCTGAGGGGATACTGGGGAAGGCACACCTGCTTGGGACCACTTTCTTTTGTCCCTAAGTCTGTACTCAAAAATATATCTGCTGTCCCTTGTGGTTCTGCTGTCCCTTGTGGTTCTGCTGTCCCTTGTGGTTCTGCTGTCCCTTGTGGTTCTGCTGTCCCTTGTGGCTCTTCTCTACATTTAGCTGTCTTATCTGTAACAAAAACAAAGTCCTCAGGCCTCACAATCACATTAACTGATTAGGTGACATCACCTCACCATTTTTACAATCAAGCAAAGTTTTGTCATGATACCTATCATATAAAACATTACACCTGTGGATTAACACACCTAAAACGTCACATCTTGGAGGATGACAGGATGAGACTGATGTACTGGGTAGCATCCGACCTGTATAAAATGCGCGGGCACACACACACACACACACACACACACACACACACACACACACACACACACACGTGACACGCACTAGTCAACATCATATATGTCTTGTACCACATAATTTTTAATCTGAAGCTACATATTAAGCATATTCAGGGCAGAGTATTGTTCCTGTTAGTGTTTAGTGTGAGATGATAGTAAATATTCCCTTTCTTTCTCCATCCACTTTACCTGATAAGCTAACTTTAGGCAAACCAGCAGCACAACAAATATTTTCTAATTAGACTCACAAACCTGAGTCAACACCAGTCTCATCAAAGCTGGGGTTCTGTCGTTGTACTTTTTGACTAAAAAACGTCCTTATGTCCATCTTCACATTTGCGTTTCAGACAGAGACTAGAAGAAGCCAGGCACTGCAGAAGAAGCCGGCTGCTGAAGGGCTTCTTCTTCAGTGGTGGAGGCTCAGGCAGGCTGTATACAAACTACTGCCAACTGCGCCCTCTCTGTTGGACTTTGGTACTGCATGTTACTTCCGCGATTTAGATCCGGGGCTATCCATGAAAGATCCGGGGCTTCAGCCCAAGTAGCCGGGCCTAACGCCGCCCCTGAACTTCACATCCATGGACCTACTTGACAGTACTACATGGATTCTGCCAACAACGCCAAATGTGGCAAGGTGGAGAAAGGAGGGCCTGGGCGGGATTCGATCCCCAGACTCCCGGGTGAGAGTCACGCGTGCTAACCAGTCAGTCAAAGGGACATCACCTTGGCCAAGTAGCTAGGGCGCATGATCAATTGGGACACTGTGACAGGACACTCACACTGCCACATTTAAATAAAAGAGTCTTTAGCTGTTTATTTTTTTAAGTGTCCAGACTGTCAATGCTGCATAAGAATAAAGGAAGATGACTCCAGAGTCGGGGTGCAACAGTCTGGAAGGAGCGATCACCTCGACTTTTGTATCTGGTCTTTGGAACTTCTAGAAGGTTCTGGTGTGTGGACCTGAGGGCTCGGATTGGAGCATTTTAACAGTTCAGTAATATAGGGAGGAGCTTGACCACGTAGAGCATTGAAAGTTATAATCAGGATTCTAAAATGAACTCTAAAGTTAACGGGTAACCAGTGGAGAGACATTAGAATAGGAGTGATGTGTGCTCTTCTGTTTGCTCCAGTTAGGGGTCTTGCTGCAGAGTTCTGGACCAACTGAAGGCAGTCAAGGGCTTTTTTGTTAAAACATGTGAAAAGTGTGTTACAGTAATCTAGATGGGAGGAGACAAACACAGAGCAGTTTGGTGGACATATTTCATTGAAATGTACAAAATAGCCATCTTGCTTTCACATCTCTGTAAGAAATAAATAGTCCAACTTTTCTCTGGTGAACAGCTCATTTAAAATAAAGGATTTGTTTGAGATGGAGCAGGCATTTAACAGGGCACATTGAACTGAATCCTGGAGAACATTTGTTTTCTTAACCTGTTGGGTGTAGCGTTATGGATTTATGCTCTTTTATGAAAGAGAAACCATGCTACGTATTAATTCGGAATATTAATTTTAATAAATCAATAACCAAATTTTATATTGTTCAGAAGACTCAAAGGTTGTTTTCATCCATAAACTGCCGATAATATCTGAGTGTCTGTGTTTCAGTTCAATGAGGAAACAAGTTTGAAGGATTAAAAGTTTTAATTCTTCAAATTAAACTAATGATTTTGAAAATTGACAAACAGGAAATAACAATCACATTGGCAACTTTGTGGGACAATCTTTTAACAGTTTATATGCTGTTCATGCTCAAATAGACCTTCTGGTGAATTTATGAAGATTGAGAATGTTGTGACATGAATGCGTGTGTGAGTCTGATTTTGCTTCAGGAAGAAACAGGTGTCTGAGTGAAGTGATGGTTTGGATAAACTTAGGTCTTATCAGAGAACTGCATCAAACGCTAAAACCGTGCTCTGTCTCACCGAACTCTTGTGGACCCTCTTTCGGATCCGGGCCGTGGAGGATGTTGTGGTTCATCCAGATGACACCGGCAGCTGACAGGAGACATAGGTGTCGAACGGAACCGGTCCAGAGTTGCCCTCGGTACACGTGGATGGTAGAGCGTTTTATCGATGCGCTTTCTTAAGTTAATTCACTCAGAAATCAAAAGACTCGGTAATGAGTCTTCGTTAGAAGTCGCGATTCAGCTATTCTGCCTGGCTTGGCAGAAACAGCGTGGAAGGGGGGAAGAACGAGCCAACAGGCTCTGCCCCCCCTTTGGTTTTCAGGTCTGTTCTCTCTCGTTGTCCAACACGAACTGAATCAAAAGACTGAAGCTTACCAAAAACCTTTCTCTTCTCAAAGCAAACGTGCGTCATCAAATGTGTCTGGAGTTTACTGTGAGCAGGTGTGTGTGGGTGTGTGTGAATGTTTGTGCTTGTGTGTGTGAAGGTCAGTAACAAACATTCTTAACATTATTTAAGAATGGATTCATTAAACCATTATAATTACCCCAAAGCATGAGAACCATTCATTTGATTAAACACATTTATAATGAACAAAATGATAATGGTTATTTTAACATTAAAATCAAGAAAAAGAAGTTTAAACTTTATGTTTTGACTTGGTCTGGGTACAACTCATGTAAACACATCTTCTGGTAGACTGCAGGTGGCTGATGTTATGGTTTCCTCCCAGACTCGCTGGCGTTCAGGTCTTAATCTGTGGGTGAAAGTTCTCAGCGACCCAGCTATGACCCAGCTGAGTCCAACACCACCATTGTGACAGAAAACTCATATTTCCTCACGTTACATGGGGAGGGATGGGTCGTAAACATCTGGTGTTCTGGGTTCTCCGGCCATGAATACAGTTTATGTCTTTGCTGGTTGATAACTGAACTGGAATAGGGAAACTTTTGGGTTTGTCAGCAGAAGACAACATTTTGGGAATTGTGACCTTTGGAAGACGCGTAGAAGACTGCTGCTTCATGGGAGGACTGAAGGGAGTGATGTTATTTGAAGTGGAGGTTTGAGCAAAGGCCCATCTCTGGGATGTAAACCATCATGTCTGTGGAAGGGAATCCACCATAGATGTATATCTATGGGACTGCACAGCATGCCGGATGTCAGGCGTGTAACATCATTCGATCTCACATGAATGATCAATCTTTTAACTGAAGCTGGGATGGAGTACAGCAGACCAGGAAGTTTATCCATGAGAGCAGGTATGGTGGCTGATGGAAAACATCTCGTCATGCCGTCAAAAAACGGACATTCCTGATTATTGAATCACCTACCAGCAAAGTGGTAGGCGAAAACAGTGGACGAGGTGTAGAGAGCTCCTGATTTGTGTTCCTGTGGAGTAGTGGAGGATTCTGGGTTTGGGTTCCTGTGGTGTTGTGGAACCAGAGAGTTTGAGGTGGAGGGTTAGCCGTGGAGGAGCTCACCTCCTGAGCCAGGGTAGGAGGTCCAGCAGAGTGTCAACGCACAGCATTCTTTAGTATCAGAGGTAGAGGTTGGGGGGGGGGGGCATGCTGAAGTTGCTTCTTCCAGACTACAGACTCCTGCTGGATGGGATCAGATAGTTGGGAGGGAAGAGGAGGCCTGGAGGAACCAGCTGGTTGTTCCTCAGCAAGTGGAGAGAAGCGGTTTGAAAGACTGAGGTCAGGTGGGGTTTTGGATCAACCATAGGGGCTCTCCCTACGGCCACGTACCACAACCTTGGACCAAGATGAAAATTGGTCAGGAGTAGAGCTGGGAGTCGGATTTCGTGGTGCAGAGGGATCCCAAGCAATGGTGTCTTGGAGTAGTTTTGTGCAGATTGAAGCAGTTTTGCATGGATGTTTTATCTTCAAACTGACTGACAATGGTCAGCTAACAGCTGTAAAGCAAGTAGAGCGCTCCACCTGGTGTACTTACCTGTCCCACAAAACGGCCAAGTGTGGTTTCTGGCCAGCAGAGGGCTGCAGAGTGCTGTCCAATGTTAAGTTTGTAAAGTTTCTGCCAACAGAAACACTGAAACCCACTTCTAAAGGAATAGCTTAAAGCGGTAAAACTGTTTTAGAGTTGCTTTAATTGATTGAATTTGATTTATTAAGCTAAAACAATGTTATTTCCCCATAATTAATTAAAGAGATAGAATAATTATTTTTAAGTAAGCAAAAAATGTGAACAATTTCACTCAGAACTGAAGGTCACAGGTGGTGTATTTGTGAAAGAAATTTGGGGAATGTCCCTTTATGCAGGTTAAAATGAGTTTGTGCAGAAATAATGACAGGCACACGTGATCTGAGCCCTTTGAGTTCAGATTTATTGATACGGCTGTGCAGTCACAGAGCATGGTGGCACACACGGCCGCCTGGCCAGCATGGGACAGGAACACACACACACACACACACACACACACACACACACACACACACACACACACACACACACACACTCACACACATGCACTCCCAGTTACTCTTTTTCATCAGAGATGTATTGGACAGCACAATCCAAGATAATTTGTTATCTTACGTTTTTCTCACGTGACCCATGTCATGCTGAATGTTTACTATGAAAGCAAACATATCAGTGCTTTCAGGTCATCGATGGTTCTATCAGGGTGCTCAGCCAGCTACATCCAGTCCACAACATCTCCTTTTTGTTTCACCATACACACTCATCAACAAAGCAGGTCACAGTGAGGAGATCAGAAATGCACGTTAAGTATTTTGTGCCCCCCCCCCCCCCCCCCCCCCCACACACACACACACTTTACAGAAGATCATTCGTAACGGAGATCCAGACGAAACGAGGAAACAAAGCATTAAACAGACACAAATGATCCGTTTCATTGTAACCATAACAAAAAAACACCATATTCATTAGTCAGTAATACAGCTATGTTTCCTATCATTGTCGGTATAAAGTCCCGGTAAATGTTCAGCTATCACAGTAGCAAGTGGCGCAAACTACAAGACTGTACATTAAGTTGGTCTGATGGAACAGAAAATAAGATTCTGCTTTTCCGAGTGTCAGGCAGCCTGTAACAATTATGTTTTAGGTCTTACATTTACAGATTGTTGCACATTGTGTTACATTTTCAGCTTTAAACCACTCCACGCCTCTCTCATTTCAGAGCTGGTGAACGAAAAACATGAACGGACACCCAGAGGAAAGAGAACACGATTAACAGAAGTGACCACTAAGAGGGAGACGCTACAACACGCAGCACAGAGCAGCTAGAAAATAGACTTCTCCAAATGGAAAGGAGCAAAATATACCATTAAATCTACTTTTAAAAATACTATATTCTGCAAGATGAAGCTTCCGACTTTACAAGCTGATCGTCTCAGGGGACTGTTGGGCGTGAAGTGTTGTCAGAAGCTAGTTGGATCGGCTACGCCCAGATGGGAGCCGATTTAAACGACATCACTAAAGTCTCCTACAGGTGGGACACAAGAACAGCTAGAGGCACACAATCAGCCAGCTGGTATGCTAACCACTGACTGCATCTTTTTAGGTAGAAAGAAGGTTTCAGTGCATGAAAAATAAAATAAAATAAACTGCTAAATTCTACCATCTTCTGGTAAAACAATTAAAGATTGAAACAGAGGCTACAAAATAAATGTTTTGTATTTCATTACCTTAAACACTCAGTTTATCACCATATGTACTCAAAATAAATCCACCAAGAGCTTGATCTTGGCACAAAAATTCTGTTTTTCATCCCAAATTAACACCAACAAACATAAAGATAAAATGTTTAAGGAAAATATTCTCCATCACTATGCAAATACTGCCGAAAACATATAAATAGTGAAAACTGAAACAGCAATGGGTGCAGTGTGATACATATTCAAATTTAGCAATATTACATCATCTATACACAACATTACAAGCCTTGGAAACCAAGAAGCAGATACACTTTGGACTCGCAGCCTCAAATGCGTCACAGAAGCATGAAGGTTCAGCCTGCTGGGAGATTCAGGAGCACAGCGTGAATTCAAACGTTACGACCAAATAAAATAATTTTTAAAAATTCCTCTAATTTAGCAACAGTGTTGACTTCCTGCTACAGCTTAAAGACCCATTAGAAGGCATCGAGAAGAAGACTTACATTGTGACCATGTAGTGCATAAATAGTACGGGACAAAAGGAATGCAAAATGGAAAAATAAATAAAAATACTTAAAAAAGTTTTTTTATTTACAAAAATAAACTGAATGCATTTGCGATATGTTTTGATTTGCAAAAGCTGCTTTCTAATTTTTGGACTTTTTTTTAATCTCCCTAAAGATTATTTTTGTAGGTTGGAGGATTTATGCTCCCCCTCAGTTCCACACAGGTACCATCATTCATTATGTACAGTAAGAAAGACAAAAACTAAACAAAAAAAGGAACAAAATGCATTCAAAATCCCTAAAGACTGAGGATAATAATGCGAACGTAAACACGGCGCAACTTACGTTTTAAAAGAACTTTTTGCAAACATGAGAAGCACTCAAAACTCAGGAGAACGTTTTCAGAAAACTAGCTAAACAATATGATGACCTGTGTATTGTACTGTACATAAATGTATGATGCATGCTGTATAACAGTTGTAAAAGTCCTTTGAAACATTCTGCATTTAGTCTCAACACAACATCACCATTTTAACCTAAATTAAACTCATAAATTGTTGTGAAGATTGAAAGTGAGACTTTTAAAACAGCTACATGTTTGTGGTTGAGTTAAAAATAAAAAAGAAAGCAAATGTTATAGACAGCAGGCTCCTCCTTTAACCTCCTGCTCCTGCTTTGTGGTAAATACATCTTTCAACAGAGTTCATAAATGAACAAGAAAGGCAGGATTAATGCACATAATTCTGTATACACGGTAAAAATGTGACAAAAGTTAAATAACAGGAGGAACAGCGAAGACAAATGGAAGCAAAGGTGCAGGTTTTCTTTGACCTGTAGAGGGCGACATATTCCTATACTATGGACTTTCTTCTGAAATAAGCCACTCGAGGTTCAGGTCGACAGCAGCACAGTGGAGGTGTGGCCGTGATGCTCCTCAGCTCGGCTATTCCATCACTTCCTCTGCTTCGTTCAAACCGGACAGGAATATTTATCATTAGATTATCCCTAAATGATTCCCAGAATGACTAAACTGTTATATCAGGTGTCCTGGTTAGACAATGTCACATTAAAATGTGTTTTTGTTATCAAACAGATGCTTCATTTTGATTTTATTTCAGCAACTTCAAGTTTAAACTCACCTTTAATTTCTTTGTTCTTGTTTTGTTCACGGTCTGGAGATTCAATCTCTTCTGACAGCTCTCCTAAAAAAGATTATTTTAATTATTTTTTTTACCAACTGGAGTTTACTCACAGAAAATATGACTTTAAAGGATAAATTAAGGTTCTGTGTTAAATACAAAGTTTGTTTTAAACTGCTGATGAGATAATAAAGAAACAGACTTTTAACTTATCAGTGATAAAGTAAATAAAAATTATAAATCGAGTTTAGACTATTTTAGAGGATTTGTTTTAAACGTGTCATCTCTGTTTAATGGAGTTTGTTCTCATGTTTTTATTTTTAATGGTTTTAACGTTTTTATAACTGTGGATACAGAACAGTAAGATAATTGTCAATGCATATGGATAATAAAGTTTATTTAATCTTCATTTCCTTTAAAGGAAGCAAAATATCAGGTTTTAAATCTGAGGGATTTCTATTTTTACAGCAGCAGCCCTGCACGTGGTACAGCTTCCATTTTCCCATTAATTTTCTTCACTAAAATGTGTGAATTTGAGTGTAAATTTTGATCAGTTAATGAAAAATCAATGTGCATTTTTCAGGCAAAAGCAAAAAAACAAAACCCAAAAAACTTGAAAATGAATAAATAAAAAAACATCACAGACCTGCTCTCACTAATTTTCCATTTAAAGGTATTACACAGAAGGGATTACCGTTCTGCAGCGGGGGGCTGTGCTGCATGGTGTTCCCAGGCGGCGCTTCCTCCTCTGGTTCCTCTGGGTTACCATCTGGTGGTCTGCTGACCTCTCCTGACTCTGACGCCTCCCCATCCGATTTGTCCTCCTTCTGTTCGGGGTCTTCAGATGCTGTGTGGATCTCCTGGGGCTCCATAGCCTCCTCCTGTTGAGCTTGCTCCTCTGCTTCCTTTTTAGCTCTCTCCTCTGACTCTGAGGTCACACGAAGCATTGAGACCATTTAGCATGTGTGTTTTTATGTGTATTAACTATTTTCACTAATAAGGGCTTAGGCAGTATGTTTTAATACGTTTAAAAATATTTTTGACCTCAGTTGAAGCTTAAATATGCAGTAAGAGCATTTGGCCACTCGATGGCAGAAAAAACATGCTTCATGAAAACTGATTAAAGTAGAAGGTAGACTATTTTCTTTTTTTTTTTTTTACATTTAGCGCTTTCTATACTTGCGCATAATTTTAGATAATTGCTCTCTTTGCACCTTTAGCAGCCTGGGATTTCCACCTTTCCCTGTTCTGATAGACCTCCTCGTTCCACAAAGCCTTGAAGTTTTTCATGTCCACCGTCAGCAGAGAGCTCTGGCCGGACGAGCTGCTGTCAGAGCCCACGCTCTTGACACTGTGCCTCTTGGTTTCATCTGAGCTAATACTGTTCAGGCTGGAAAGATGAAATACAGAATTAGATGAGAGGGTCATTAGACCTTCAACATGAGTGCAGTGAGGATGTTTTACTGAGTTTGCATGCTGTTATTTGTAATCAGTAATCAGGTGCATGTTATTCTTGCAAATATTTCAATATAATGTCTGACAAAAACTTCATTTTACAATAAAACATTTGGAAAAATCTCAAAGTAAAACCTCAGTTTAGGTTTCATAAACTCTTTGCAACATCCTCATGTTTAGCTTCATAACCCCCACATTTCTAGTTTTATTTAGTATCAAAATACTTCTGTAACAACTTTCCTTGAGTTCACAGGCACATTTTAAAATGGCACCAACTCTATTTCTACTTTACATTCAACCCATAAGACGAGCTGCGGGGAATATGACTGAGCAACCAAAGAAGACTTTAAAATCCTAGTATTTTTATAGATGGAAATGTAAAATTCTCTAGTAAAACATACACTGTAGACATAATATGAAGGCTCATTAAATTATACAATGCCCTTTTGTTTTTGCTCACTTCATTTTTGCAAAATTCTTTGTTAATTTTGTGTCACAATGCAGCAGTGTGGTTCAAGAAATAATACAAAAAAGTAAAAATAAACTCAGACATAATTGGGTCTCGACTTCATTTGGAATAAACTCATACATTTCAAAATTTCTCACAGAGGATGCACAACAAAATGATTGTATTAGAAATGCAACATTCACATCTCCTTTACATCTCCATCATTCATTATGTCAAATAAATACAACTTTTAAGAGTCAATCATCATAATTCTGGCAATTGTTTTCTAATTATTTACAAATCAGGTCAAACAACTTGAGCAAGTAATCCTCAAGTTTAGACCTCAGACTTGACTCAGGACTTCTGTGTCTCTGGACTAGACTTGATTCAGAACTTAAAGTAGTGCTAAATAGTTTTTTCTACTTTAAGCTAGAGTTTTAACATTGATCTCAGTGATTGTTGAGTTACAAACATGACCAGTTTCTTATTTGACAGCACTCTGCCACCCTCTACTGACCAAATACTGTGTTTAAATAGATTTGTGGAGTGGGTAGGTGCTCTATAGGGGAGCTACTTTCCTGCTTTACAGCTGTTAGCAGTTATGCTAGCCTTTTCAGTTTGCTGATTGTCAAAAAAAGCACAAGAAGAAGAAAATAAGAAATTTGCTTCTTTGTTGGCATCATGGCCTGGAAGTAAGAGAGTAATGCCTTTGGAGGCGGAGCAAATTGCTAAAGCCAGAGTGAACATACGCACAACCTACATTAGTTTGTGAGAGCTAAAGGATGCTACAAAAATCATGGACTGATAGTGACCTGGCTTTGTTGCTACTGGACTTGTAAGTAATAATATTTTGTCCAATAGTGTGGATCTTTTTACTTTGTGGTTTATTTTAGTATTAGTTGGCTCATGTTAGCATTAGCTTGTTGTTAACGCTAGCTACAGTAGACTGCAGCAAGGTTGTTTATGACAGGAAACTGCTCATTGTTACTTTAAACTCTTGAAAGGTTTAGTTATCTTCGTTCTGTCTGTTAATTACAAATCTGCAATGTTATGCAGGACATTTTAAAGTCTCAGATCAAAGGTTGTTGGAAATACATGTAGTGAGCCTTATGTATGTGTACACATGACATATTTCTGACTTTCTCGCAAACATTGTAATAATTCAAACTTTTCAAAGTCAGCCTGAAGCAGCCTAGGGATGAGTGGCAAAGCAGCTCAGCTTGTACCTCAGCTGGACATGTTGTCTGATTTGTGATCTAAACAGTAAAGCTAAGGTATATATTTCTGTTCTGGAGGATAAAAAAAGAACTTTCTGTTTCATTTGAACATAAAAGAGAAGTAGATAAACAAAGGCAGACAGAGAGCGCAGATACTGTCACAGATTACTGAAAGCAGCTCTCAATGTTGTTAATAGAGAGTCATATGATAGCCAAAAGCAACCAAGTGGAACTGTGAGTTTTTACACTCTGTTTGCTTAACTGGAGCTCCACTGAGTAATGCTAATGACTGCTGTTAAACTAAACTGCTAGGTTGAAACTGATGTCCAGGTGCAAGTAAAGATGCAGAGCCAGACTGTCAGAGAACTGCTTTATTATCCAATAAAGCGACTCTGCACAGTGGAAGGTATTTTTATTCTGTTTCAGTGTATCATAATTATTAGAAACCCAATGTCACGTGCATTGTTCTGTGTTAATTTGTGCGCTTCTGCAAAGCCTTAAACATGTAGCTGATTTATTGCAAGACTGGAGAAAAAAAGTCCTGCCAATAAATTCAACTAGCAGTTCCGTTTTTATCTCTTGAGGGAATAGGGTAAACCGATCTAGCTCGGGGGCCCATTCCTGATCATGGACGTGAGGTGAGCTTGGCTAGCGTCTCTAAAATGTCAATTTCAAGGTGCTTGGCTTTGCCAGATGCAAGGTGAAAACATTTCCACCCAATGAAATCGATTAATCATGGAAGATGCCTAATCATTTCTCAATGCCTCCAATTAGAGGTGCTGTTCTTTTAAAGAAGCGGATGTTGTTCTCTCTTGTATTTGAACTAGTGAGAGTTTTTAAAAACAGGAAACATTTCATCCTTGATTACACAGAATGGTTGATTGGACCAAATACAGAGCAGTATTTAAAGATTTGATCCATAGAAGCTTACCTTGAACGTCTAAAGCTTGAAAGACCTGAGTGGGAGGCCTCGTCGATGAGCGGCGTGACGATCCGCTCCATCATGTCTGTGAGCACAGTGAATGTGGGCACCACGATGAAGTCTATGAACCCTGGTGAAAAAGATATCAGCAAATCTATAAAACATGTTAATGCACACATGCATGGGAAAATGCCAGTGTGATCATTGTGAACACTGGGAATACTTTGGGATCCTCCAGGATGAGTTAGAAACATCTGGGTTTCCCTACTGGACTTGTTGAAGCAGCAGTAAAGGGTTTTTAAAACTTTAAGCTATTGCTTTCGAACTGGTTTCAGCAGTTTTTCAGCCACGAACTTGAGCAATTTCACATTGGACATCCCTCTGTAGCCCTCTGCAAGCCAGAAACTGCACCTCACAGCTTTGTGGCATGGGCAGGAACACTAGCCGGAGCTCTCAAACCTGCTTTATGGCAACAGCTGTTTACTGTGCTGGTAGCTATTATAAAGGTGAGCAGCTAGCTTTTGTTATTTCACTGACTTTCAATAAAAAGTACAAAAAGAAGAATGTTTTTTTTAAACATCAAGGCGGAGCCTCAAAATAAACACAAGAGTCTTTGCAAAGAGCTAAAACCAGAGTGAACATCGGTGTGGCCTACGCTCTTTTGAGCTGAAGGAGGCTAAGAAATCATGGATTGATGTTGACTGTAGCTTTGTTGCTACTGGACTAGTAGTAATAATAATTATTTGTCTTTTTATTTCATAGCTTATTTTAGTATCAGCTGGTTTGTGTTAGCGTTAGCTTGTTGTTTGAGCTAGCTACAACACAGTTGTTTATGACAGTTGTAAGTCCACTTTCAACCAGTAGGAGGAAGAAGCAGGACACATGTTTAGTGTTGCTTTAACTTGTGTGGTTTACTTTTAAAACATTCAGACTAGGGCTGTCGCTGTAACTGCAAAAATGAAATATCGCAATATGAAGAAGCCCACCACGCTGCATCATGGGCTACCGCGATTACTGAACTTGGTTCAACTCAATGATGCATGTTGAGAAGGATGGCTGCACTGGTATCAAAACGAAACGTTACTTCGCTCCTTTGGGAGCACTTTGGTTTTCAGTACGTCAGCTGCTGCGCAGCCAGAGTCCTTGGCCGAGACAGAGCTGCAGCGGCAAAAAAATAAATAAATAAATAAATAAATAAACGCTCGGAGACCTGCTGAAGTCCCGGACAAGCACTGCTTCTGCAACCGTCCCGAAGAGAGTTTGAGCCGAGCTGGAGCTCACTCACTACCTGCAGGAGGAATGCATCCACCCTAAAGAAACCCCCCTGACATGGTGGAGCAACAACCGGGAGAGATTCCCTTTGCTCGCCAGAGTCGCACGCAAGTACGTGTGCGTTAGTGCAACGAGTGCACCATCCGAGAGGGTTTTCAGTGTTGCTGGAAATGTTGCCACCCTTCTCAGATCCTCTCTCAAACCGTATATGGTTAACATGCTGCTTTTCCTTGTAGGTAACAAGGACGTGACCGAGCTATAAATCACCGTCATTCGTGTGTGTGAAAGTGAAATGATAGTGTGCCCGCCCCCTGGCGCGCGCGCGCCCGGTACATGTAATTTTTTATGCTTGATTTTAAACAACTAAACAAAATGGGGACTTGTTTCTTATTTGTTAGATGCTGCAGCCAAATTTGCATTTAAAAGTTTAACCTCCTGAATTTTGTTGTTTTTAAGTTCAGTCGGACTCCGACTGTCGGAGAAACAAACGTTACTGCGATCTGTGTTGTTACTGCCCTTTGATCTGCATTCAGTAAAGTGTTATAAAAGAAGGCACAGCAATTTTTAACCTTTTTTAAATGTGTAAACATTATGTTTAGATAGTACTGCAATAAAAAAAGGGCTGCAATAATATCGCACACCGCAATATTAAGCCACCCTGAATCACCGCAGGGGGAATTACTCAACAGCGACAGCCCTAATTCAGACCTGTCCAATAGAGGTGTGAATCTTCACTTGTCTCCCGATTCGATTCGATTACGATTATTGGGTCAACGAATCAATTCGATTCGATATCCCGATGCATCACGATTATTTCATATTGATTTGTTTTCATTGATAAATAGAAGATGTCAGATAATTGCTTTTTATTTGCTTTTTTTAAAATCAAAAACGTAATTGACACAACCTGCCATCCCTCAAAAGCTCTCCATCCACAACAGATTAGGACAAAACATTTTAAACATTTAAGAAGATTTAACAAACACGCTTTGCAGAAACTCACAAAATCTGAAAAAATACTGAAAACCAATGGGACACATAATGCAATAATAAAATACATAATGGGTTCATATATGAGTGTTTAATGTCTCTGAGCAGCTCTAGAGTCAAATATTTATGCCACAGTTCAAGTCTGTCAGAAATAACACCAAATTAAATGTTTGACTTAGTTTGTTATTTTATTTGAAGCCAGTGGTTCATTTCTGAAATGTTGGAGAATGAATCAAGTTCTGTTTGATGCAGAAAACATTAACACATAAAACAAATTCTACACTTCCAATAATATTTAAGATGTGTGTTTTATTCTTTCTGATAATAACAACAGCAGAAGGCTGTGGGCTGGATTAGGATTAAATTACCTGATGGATCTCCTTCACTAAGCAGCTAACTACAAACCTTTCCACTAACCTGTCCATGTGTAACCCTCATGTCCATGCTGTCTCTGGAGGAGCAGATAGGAAACAAGACCTCCTGTAATTTAAAATGAACCAAAGCTTCCTCCCAGCTTCTCTTTAAATTCAATTTAACATCAGTTTATCTTCATGAAACAAAAGAATAAAGTGGAACAAGAACTATCAAATGTAGAGTCCCGCCCGGGCCCTCATTTGTCCACCTTGCCACATTCTATTTCTCTCACCTTTTAACTTTTCCGTGTCCCTAAATAAAAGAGACAGACGATCACGCTGCAGCTGCCATCATTGACCCCGCCCCCTCCCCAAGACCAGATCTCCCGGCATCACAACACTCTGTCTGACTGAGCGCTTCGAGGAGAAATAATAATTAAATTATGAAAACAAATAATGCGTGTTTGGAGCATCAGTTTGGAGGAGCGTCCTCCGATCCTCTCTCTTGTGTGAGCAGACGATGTCTCTCTCTCCCTCTCTCAGATGCTGTGCGAGCGAGCGGAGCGGGCCGCGTGACAACCCACTCAATTACCATAATTCACTGCCCAAATCCAACAGAACCGGTTGGGCTGATTCGGTTCGGTCTCAGGTTACAACTCCAGCACTCAGCCCTGCAGCACCACATTAAGGCGGGAACCACTTGGTAAATGTGGAGGACACTCACTCTGACAGACTTGGATGCTGCGCTGGTGCCACCGCTAAAAAAACAAAACTACATTCCACTATAATCGATTATGGCGTACTCTTCTACGATGCAGAATCGTTTATGTCCACATCCCGATGCATCGATTATTTGATCATTTTCCTCAGCTCTGCTGTCCAACAAGTGTTTCAAGATGTAATGTATCTATTTGGAAAACACTTGCATCCACCTCTTACACAACAAAAATATCAACAGATGTACTACGATTCTCTGGAAAATGTAATGACACCCTTTGCTTCAGAATCTGGCAAGGCTTTCTTTAGGAGAAATAAAATTGTGGAGGCGTTTTGCATAATTGCACACCAGTCTCCAACCCGACCACCCTCCTTGTGAAATTCTTTTTGCCTGTAATATGTTTACTTCAAAAGGCCTCATTTGAGTATGAACCTTGAATGCTGTGGGAGGTGTAAACACTGCAAATTGCAGAATCCACTCACCAATCTGGGACTGAGCAACCAATGTAGACTTTCTGTCGCAGAGTGGAGAGAATGGCAGCCCGAGTTCAGCCTCTTTGTCCCCCTGCAAACACACCAAATTCCATGAAGGATCTTCGGTTTGGATCCTATACAAATAAACCACGCCCTTTAGCCATCAAGCGTTTGATTTGTCTGCGCCCTGCCCCAAAACCCACAAATATCTTCTATTTTCTCCTCCTATTTGTGACAAACAGATTAGATGAGAAGCAGAGAGGCAATATTCTTGGGAGAAGCTATTTACTGGCATTTCACATCCCAAGAGACACAAAGCCTTGTGAAAGCAGCCACAGTGACAATAGCACTGATAATGAGTACAATGAGCTTTAATAATAAGAGATGGAAGCAGTGTGGCAACATTTAGGACCATATCTCCCTTGATGACAACTCCAAATACACAATCTGTTACTTATAAGCATATTTATTATTTTACTAAACACAACTCATCGTGTACTTTCACAGTGCTAGACTTTTGTTTTTGAATATACGCCTAGACAAATAAAAATACATTCTTGGGAGGGAAGTGCTGGCCAAACAATAAGTCGTCAGTATTGCAAGTTCACCATTAATGATTCACTCCATTTAAAAAAGGACTAAAAAGAACAAAATTAACATCCATTCGTAGATGAAAGCTGGGGTCCATAGCTCGATGTCATCAGGAAGAGAAGGAGGAGATTTGGAAATTTGAACAGCTATAGGGAGCCTAAGCCATGCCCATCTACTACTGGACCATGGGTCCCTGGAAGAATAAAAAAATGACTGCAAGTCAATGAAGCTAAAAACGCTACTTTCTAATTCTGTTTGTTATGTCCCATGGATTTCACATATGATGTCCGTGAATTTTAAAGACGCATTTTGATGCCAAGAAAGCGCTTCTTTTTGAATGGGGTCAAAAGTTATGTTAGGTTTGTGTGAAAAGACGTATAGGACTACAAATGTGTCTCACCATAATGGCTCATCGAACCAGACACAGAGAAGAGGGGAAGATTTAACGAGCTTTGAATTCTTCTCTGAGGATGACAGGAGTATTAAACTTGGAGAAAACCACTTTAAATCTGGCTCTGTGGTAAATAGCAGCTACGCTGGGGGAGAGGAGTTTCTGCAGTGACGTCATACGTATATGTGATGTCTGACTTGTCGTCCTTTTACAAATTTTTACAAGCTAATAAATCCTAAATTACGTGACAGGCATCATAACTTTTAATTTAAATTAAAGTACATTATATGTGCGATTCAGGGCGCAAGGCAAGCAGATTAGAAAATAGCTTTTATAGCACTCGTTCACTTGCATGCATACTTGTTTTATTCTGCGGACCCCTGAGCCAACTGGAAGGGAAGGGGACTTAGGCTCCCTATAGCTCCCGCCCTGCTCCACTTCCCCTTCTGGAAGGAGCTGAAAGCCACGCCTCATACCGCACACACACACACACACACACACACACACACACACACACACACACACACACACACACACACACACACACACACACACACACACGCACGCACGCACGCACGCACGCATGCACGCACACACACACACACGCACACGCACGCACACATATCCTTGTAGCGCTAAAGGAAAAGTAATATATTCGATATGATTCTGCTCGGACACATCTGACTCTAATAGCTGAATGATCTAAATGTTCATCGGGTTCTGCAACAGCTTTTAATCAATTCTGCAGTGTTCAAGCAAGGAAATATCTAAAACCGGCAGGAATCCAGCACTAACGATGCTATCACTGCTAACGATACAACAGACTACAATAATGATGCAATGTAGCGTAACGTTGAAAGCTGTGCTAATCACTTAGCTTCAGTACACAAAAGATAAATTCCTGTTGGTTCACCCTTCCTTTTCCACAGTTAGGTTGAAGTTTACAAAGTGACATTAATTCAACACTGGTTGAGTTAGGTTGGTGCGCTAAATTGGCTAATGTTGGCAACTGGGGCACATTCTTGTTTATTGCTCCCTCTTGTGGTCAGCGTGCTACGCTCGCATAAATGATTCATGTTGCTGTAGTGGCCAGAAATATAAATAGTGAAAGATTACCTACTTTAAACCACAGAACAGGATCAGATAGTTGGATTTAAGCATTTTTAAAGTTCATTTAAACTTTTTTAAACTATATACCCCAGCTTTAAAGTATTTTTTAGCGACATTACGATGTTCGGCTTTAAATAGTGTAAATAGCTTCAAAGTTCTGAAAGTGGGTCTAATGGCATTTTCATCAGGACATCCAAATAAAGCATCAAAGGTTATTTCCTCATTGTGACTCTTTTTGTCCTCAAGCCACCTTTAGGAGCTGTGATGAATTACAAAAAATTACCATCATCAGAAATTTCCAAACGCAAAAGGAAAAGTTACCATCTTTGAACTAAACCATGAAGTTCCTTTGAGTGATCCCTAATCTTCCATTTAACTGTATAAAGTGTCAAACAGATGGGTTAAAAGTTTATTCTTAGCCAACAAAAACCCAGCTATTGTCCTATACATTAGTCTACAAACATGATTTTCTTATAAAAAAAGACACGTTATAAAGAAAAGTATATCGAATCTCTGTAGTTTTACAAGAACCCAAATCAAACAGCTACTTAAACTCTGGAAATGTTAGATGAAGACATGCACCTGTCTGAAGAACTCCTCGAGTAAAGAGGTGGTCCAACGGTGGTGGAGGTCAAAACTTTTGGCAGGATGGCTAATGTCGGCGGTGTGCAGAAGCAGGGACAGAGCTTTGGGCTTGTCGATGCTGAAAAATACCAAACGAATAAGAGAAAGCCACACCTTTGAGTTTCAGGAATGAGATGGAGAAATACATGCATGTGGATATTTAAAGAGATTTACTGGAACAGTGAGACAGTTTTGGTACTTTATTACTCTTGTACAAGTTTGGCTGGAAGAATTTTTTGTTTTTTTTGCACACATCTGTTCAGGCAGCTAAAAACCAAAATCTCGCTCCTGACTGGAGACTTCTGTAGACCCTGGCAGTGAGAAAAAAGGTTTTGCTAAACATAAAGGACTAATTGAATATGCACACCATCTGCACAACCTGCAGAAACAGAGGATCTGCCGTCAGAGGCTCCTTCAGCTCTGCAGTAATAAAGACCAGTGAGTTAATTCCTGCAGTAACTATTAGTAGGGACAGTCTGTGCCAGAGGACAAGATTACTTTAGGATGTGAGTTTTTATTGACTTTTTAACACTTTTTCATTTCAATCAGTTTTAATGTTGCCAAGTAAAATTTTATTTTCAGAGGTGCAACTTGACATGGTGTGGCGTTCTCTGTTAGTTTTACACCAGGCACAAAGACACACCTTCCAATGAATTCCACAATTGACTTGTCAATCCACACAATATTTTCCCAGAAGTCTTTGTCATCATCAAGATGGTTTTTATTAATGTAATTTTGATCAAAGCTTTTCACCTTGGAACTCTCTGATCGATGCTAATGTCTCTACTCTGGTCCCTTTCTTGTTGTTCAGTCACGACCTCTGACCTTAATCGTAACCAAGTGAGGCCTGTAGTGCTTGGTGTTGTTCTAGCTTACTTTGTTCTGTAATTATATTAAAACGGGGCACAGTTTTCAGCTTTTTTTGTTTCATCCCTTAGCCTTCGTCATGTTGTCATGTTGAATTTAGGTCATTCATTTAGGTCAGGGGTGCCCAATCCTGGTCCTGGAGGGCCGGTTTCCAGCACATTTTAATAATAATAATAATAATACATTTTATTTCAAAGCGCCTTTCAGGACCCCCAAGGTCACTTTACAGAAAACACGTAATAAAATACAATAAAACAATAATAAAACCCAAACAAGAAAAGACAAAGAGAGAAACAGTACAATAAAATCAGAGGTTGTAGGCAGATTTAAACATGTGTGTTTTGAGTTTTGATTGGAAAAGGGTGAAACTGTCAATATTTCTGATGTCTGGGGGGAGTGAGTTCCAGAGACGGGGAGCAGAGCGGCTGAAAGCTCTGCTCCCCATGGTAGCGAGACAGGCAGAAGGAACCGCAAGATGGATGGAAGAAGATGATCTGAGTGAACGGGATGGGGTGTGAATACTTATAAGGTCTGAGATATATGGAGGAGAGAGGTTGTGGATTGCTTTGAAGGTATGGAGGAGAATTTTGAAGATGGACCTGAATTTAACTGGGAGCCAGTGAAGCTGCTGGAGAACCGGGGTGATGTGGTGAAAGGAAGGGGTTCTGGTGATAATACGGGCTGCTGAATTCTGGACCATTTGCAGTTTATGAAGGAGTTTGTTGGGGAGACCATAAAGAAGTGAACTGCAATAGTCGATACGGGAGGTGACGAGGCTGTGGACGAGAATGGCGGCAGTGTGAGGGGTCAGTGAGGGACGAAGACGGTTAATGGAACGTAGATGGAAGTATGCTGACTGAATTAAGTTATTAATGTGAGCTTGAAAAGAAAGTGAGCTGTCAAGAATGACACCCAGACTCTTGACGTGAGGGGAGGGGGAGACTATGGCGCTGTCAATAGTTAAAGAAAAGCTGTCAGATGTTGACAGGGTGGAGTTAGTGCCAACTAGAAGAAGTTCAGTTTTATTGCCGTTGAGTTTGAGGAAATTAGAGGTGAACCATGATTTGATTTCAGAGAGGCAGAGTGTAAGGGAGGATGGTGGGAGAGTTGAGTTGGGCTTACTGGAAATGTAGAGCTGGGTGCCATCCGCAAAGCAGTGAAACTGGATATTGAATTTGCGGAAGATTTTGCCGATAGGGAGGAGGTATACTATGAAGAGGAGGGGCCCCAGGACAGAGCCCTGGGGCACACCTGACTTGACTGGGGAGGGTTCTGAGGTAAAGGATTTTAACTGGATGAACTGAGTGCGGCCAGTAAGGTAAGATTGAAACCAGCTGAGGGGGGTGTGAGTGATGCCTAAGGAAGAGAGTCTATTGAGGAGGATGGGATGAGAAATGGTGTCAAAGGCCGCACTCAGATCGAGGAGAATAAGAATAGAGATTAAACCAGAATCAGCAGCAATGAGTAGGTCGTTAGTGATCTTGATGAGAGCTGTTTCTGTGCTGTGGTGGGGACGGAAACCAGACTGAAACTGTTCATAAAGGTTATTGCGGGTGAGATGGCAATGGAGCTGAGATGCAACAGTTTTCTCTAGGACTTTGGAAAAGAAGGGAAGATGGGAAATGGGACGCAGGTTATTGAAATCATTGGGATCTAAACCAGGTTTTTTTAGAATAGGGCTGACTGAAGCGGATTTGAATAGGGATGGGACCGTACCAGAGGATAGTGAGGAATGAATAATGGCCGTTATAAAAGGGAGCAGAGAAGAAAGGCAGGATTTAACTAAAACTGTTGGAATAGGGTCCAGTTGACAGGTGGAAGGTTTGGATTTGGTGATGTAATCTAATATTTCTGAGGGATGGGGAAGTTCAAAGGAGGAGAACTGAATGGTGGGTTCAAATAAATCAGGAGAGGGAGGGGAGGAATGAGGTAAAGAGAGATGGATTCTATTGACCTTATCATTAAAAAACTGAAGGAGAGAGTTACAGGTTTCTGAAGAGTAAAGATGGATGGGTAAGGAGTCGGGAGGCTGAAAAATGCTGTTCATGATGGAAAATAATGCCTTAGTGTTGCTGGAGTTGGACGAGATGAGACCGGAGTAATACTGAGATTTGGCATGGGAGATGGAGTCCTTGTAGAGAGAAATCTGAGCAGAATATAAGTCTTTATGGATGGTGAGACCGGTTTTCTTGTAGAGTCAGTCTTTCAAGCCTCCGGTTGGTAGCTTTCAAGGAGCGTAGGGCAGGGGTGAACCATGGAGCAGACCGAGTAAAATATACAGAGCGGGATTTGATGGGAGCAAATGAATTAAGGATAGAAACCAGACCGTTATTGTACTGAATGACAAGATCATCGGGAGTAGAGGACAAATTAGGGGTCAGGGTGGCAAAACTGGAGGACAGGGAGGCTAGATCAATGTCCTTAATATTACGAAAAGAAATGATACGTGGTGACTTGATGATGGAGAGACGGAGGGGAACAGAAAAGGAGATGAGGAAGTGGTCCGTGAAAGGGAGCGGGTCAGCTGTACAGTTGGAGGGGGTCAGGCCAGAGCAGCAGATTAAATCCAGGGTGTGACCTTTAATGTGAGTGGGAAAATTGGCATATTGATGAAAACTGAGGCTGTCCAAAGATGAGGAGAAGTCTTTGCTGAGGGGGAGGGCCATATTGTCCATATGAATATTAAAATCACCAAGTAAAATTACATTTGGGGAAAGGGAGGACAGATGGGATAAAAGAGCAGAGAGTTCATTTAAAAACTCAGAGCTGAACTTGGGGGGACGATAAACAGTGACAATTATTGTGGGGGTCGGGCCGGAGAGTTGACAGGCGAGGCATTCCAGAGTGGTGAGAGGAGGAAGGTTTACGGGAAGGACCTTCCAAGTCTCGCCGTCGCGGCCCGACCCACGGGGTTTGGAGAGGTAAACAAATCCGGGAGGAGTACAGTCATTGAGTTGTGAGAAATCGCTGGGTTGTTGCCATGTTTCGTTCAGACAAAGAAAGTCTAGCTTATGGTCACTGATGGTATCTTGGAGGAGATGTCCTTTACCAGAGAGGGAGCGAATGTTGAGAAGACCAAAATTAGCATTGCGGAAGTCCCTGGCGACAGGAGCATTAGCCCGACTAGCCAGCCGGGCTAACACGCTGGAGTCGGCAGCTCGGCAGGTATTCCTGGGTAGCCGCCGGCTAGTCGTGGACCAGAAGGAGGGTACTCCTTTGGAGCCGTCGAGATGGAGGTTCCGCCGGGACCCCCGATGGATATACCGACGGCGAGGCTGGAAGGTGATGCCGGGGAAGAGGCACAGAGCTGGTGGTGGAGATCCGGAGTAGTGAAAGCGGAGGTTGAAGAGCTCCGCCGCCGAGTACTGGAGAAGGCCATCCACGGACAGAAGAATGAGCGACAGGATGATCCAGGCCAGTGCGAGGCACAGAGAAATCCTGCTGGACCACATTATGGAGTGGAGCAGGGAGGTGGTGATGTGGAACCAGGACGCAAGCTGAGCAGGTAGGTGAAAATGAGTTTTCACCGACACAGTGATGTGACTCGGGTAAAAAAGAAGAAAAAAAAAACACAAAAAAGTTTGTTTGCCAGCGAGCAGCGGCAGCGAGACGCGCCAGCGTTCACTCAACCGGAACCGGAACTATTTTAATAGTTTCTCTGCTCCAACACACTAGATTCAGTGGTTGAATCACCTGTGCAGCAGCTCATCAAGCTTTGCAGAACCTTCTGATTGAAATGGGGTATGTTGACACAGGGTTAAAACTAAAACCTGCTGGATACCGGCCCTCCAGGACTAGGATTGGGCACTTCTGATTTAGGTCAAACATTGGTGCAGCAGGTGAAAACCAGATCAGTTTTCCAAATTATGTGAGAAATGTTAATTCATGTTTTAACAAGTGAGGCAATTCCCTTTTCCCATTTCAGATTTGTCCAGATAGCTATTTTCCCCATAGAAGGTCAAATAACCATATATAAATGACATTATACATGCACATAGATCTTTTTGGTCTGGTATTGAAATGTGCTGTCTGATCAGAAACATCAAAATCAGAAGAACTTATAAGGAGGTGATACTTTTTCATAGCTCTGTGATTTTAGAAATAAATGGTTCATTGATGATTTGGTCTTACTCTGAGGAGTAAGGTCTTTCTCATGTGAAACAGATTTAGGAAATTACTTTGCTAATGAGTAAATGGGTTTTCAAAGACAGA